GTCAAGTGACATAAATATTTGAATTATAAATATATTAATTAAAATGTATCTCATAGAAATCTCTGGTAGGTGCAAGGAACTCAAATAGAACTATTAAGACTCATTTAGAATGCTGGGATGGTACGGCAGCGGTGTCCAGTAGCAACCAGTGGTTTTGGCTTTTCGAGGTTCGGCACTGGTTTGCGGACAGCTCTCTGCGTACGCTTTAAGGGTGTGCGTATACAGTACATCAATTGGAAGGCAGGACATTATCTCCTGATGTATCATTTCTATCAATGTGATTTTTTTCCACCTATACACAAGTGCCAAGTACACCAAGATTCCCTCACTCTGCCCAAACAGGAAACCTGATAATCTTCTGATCAATCTGCACATATTTAACTTGGCAAACATCCAAAATGACAAAGCGACCTTCGCAAGGCCACAGGCCAACAAAACAACTTGTTTTTGGTAAATGCACCAAGACTCATCTCTGGGACAGCAAAAAAGAAGTATTTTAATATTGCCTCTACTTCTCCCTGTCTGGCCCAGGGGTGTTTAGGACAGGTAGCTATTGCCCCTCTGCCTGGTCCAGGGGTGTTTAGGACAGGTAGCTATTGCCCCTCTGCCTGGTTCAGGGCTATTTAGGACAGGTAGCTATTGCCCCTCTGCCTGGTTCAGGGCTATTTAGGACAGGTAGGTATTGCCCCTCTGCCTGGTCCAGGAGTGTTTAGGACAGGTAGCTATTGCCCCTCTGCCTGGTCCAGGGGTGTTTAGGACAGGTAGCTATTGCCCCTCTGCCTGGTTCAGGGCTATTTAGGACAGGTAGCTATTGCCCCTCTGCCTGGTTCAGGGCTATTTAGGACAGGTAGCTATTGCCCCTCTGCCTGGTTCAGGGCTATTTAGGACAGGTAGGTATTGCCCCTCTGCCTGGTTCAGGGGTGTTTAGGACAGGTAGGTATTGCCCCTCTGCCTGGCTCAGGGGTGTTTAGGACAGGTAGGTATTGCTGGGAATGGCTGCTGCAGAACATCATAGGTTCCTGTATATAAACAGGGTGCCTTAAGGGATGCTGAATCCAAGATGTTCTGCAGCAGTTACATTGCACACCCACCCCCTTTCACCTACTGGACTTGGTTACCCAGAGATGAGCCAAGGAGGACCTGCCATTCTCCAGGTGGAAAGGAACTGAAAGCCATGGTGGGACTTTTAGTTCTTCTCCACCTGGAGGGCGGCAGGCTGCTCACACACACACACACTCAGAGTACAATATGCCACATTTCTGGGCTGCACTACAATAGTACCGGCTGTCCCAATGTGCAGCATCACACGGCTGCTGAGTATTCCCTGCATCACGTGTCCATGCAGGATGTTTATTCAGTCTTATGTCACAGGGTATAAGGAGGGCCGAGACCCCTCAGTGCAGTAAAATAAGGGGGTGCCAGTGAGGTGCCCTCCTCTCTGGTCTCCTGAGCAATAATCACTCCTCTCACATGTCCGCCTCTGGGTGGGTGATGGGGGGCACAGATGCTGTAGACTCCTCAGATGTGAGTTGTGAGCACAGACGCCTCCGTGGCAGTCAAAGCCAAGGCAAAGGGTTAGGTGCCAGTCTCTTCTAAGCACAGTGCTGCCAGAGGTGAGCAGAAACCAGTCATGTAACTCCTCATGGCGACAGTCCCTTCTTACCAGCTGACTAGTGAGCCCCTGGGTACCAACCTCAGACCTACTACTAATATCAGGAGGGGGCATCAAGCAAGTTTCACATTCCACAGGTGGCATGGGTGCCGGGCTCGGATATGAGACCCTTAGTATTAGTAGGACGATTGGCATTATTCCAGAGAGCCAGTCTCTTTTTACACCTCCTGGTGTTTGAAGGGCGATGCCAGTCTCTTGCTGCCTCTGGTCTTCAAAAGTGTTGGCCTTATGCCAGGGGTGCCAATCTCTCTTCTGGTGCTGGTAAAAGGGTGGCATAACTCCAGAGATCCCAGTATCTTGCCCCATGGTGTGAGGAGGGCTGGCTGGGACTATACCAGGGTGCCAGACTTTAATTCCCACCTCTGTGATTTTAGCAGGGGGTGTTTGTCTCCTGCCCTCTCTGGTCTTGGGAGGGGAGTGCCAGTCCCTTTATACCTTCCTGTGGTGTTAGGCAGAGGGTTCCAGTCTCTTGCCCCCTCTGGTATGATGGTGGGTGATGCCAGTCCCTTTATACTCCTGTGGTGTTGAGAGGGAAGTACCAGTGTCTTTGTGCACCCTCTCTGGTATTAGGAGAGAGAGGACAGTCTCTTGCCCCTATAATGTAAGGAGGGGTGGCATTATAGGAGGGTTCCAGTCCCTTTATAGCCCCCTCTGGTATTAGGAGGGTGATGCCAGTCCCTGTGGTCTTAGGAAGCGGAATCCAGTCTCTTGACCCTCCTCTGGTGTAAGGAGGGTTGGCATTATACCCGAGGTGCCAGTCTCCGTGACCCCAGGAAGCAATGGTGCGCTCCAGGTGTCCCTCCAGTGCCCCTAGCACCTCCCTGTGGCCTCCGGGGGTAACTGTTTGAAGAGGTTCCGAAGGGTAGTGAGTTCCCGGCTCAGCTGTTCCACCCTCTTCTGTAACCTCTCGTTCTCTGCGGCAAGCTCCAGGACCTTGTGCTGGGTCTCCATGTTGCGGATCTTGGCTTTGTCCCGGCTCTTGCGGACGGCGATGTTGTTTCTCTCCCGGCGAACCTTGTACTCGTCGCTGTGCTTGTCCAGAGACTTCTTGTGCTTGGCGCCGGTGCCGCTCGACTTGGACGAGGGGCTGGGGGTGCCGGGCGGGCTGCAGGACGAAGCGCTGCTCAGGTTGCCGCTGCTGCCGGAGGGCACGGCGTGGAAGGGCAGGTAGGGTCTGATGGACGGGGACTCCTCCATCTTGTGGTACATCAGGGGCCCCGGTTTGTAGTGCTGGGCCCCCAGCTCACACAGGAACTCCCCGCACTCAGCCTCCAGGTAGGGGCTGAAGTCGATGGCCCGCTCGTGCTCACCGATGTTGCCCGACTCCGGTCGGGGTCCCCGGCGATGGGCTTTGGCCCCTAGGCACTCGGCTCCGCCGGGCGGCTCGTAGTAGAAGTTGGCTGCTTCCATAACTCTAGCGGGGGCACATCCTGGCGGCTCCCAGGTCACCAAGCGATTCATGGAGGAGGCGAGGCTGAGCCCGATCTGCTGGAACACTCATGGGAACCGGTTTAAATACCCGCGATGACGTGACGAAGTATGTGTTCACCGTGTGCATGGAAACCGGATACGTCACTCGGCACAACCTCAACTGTCAGGCTGAGGGCTCCGCTCATAGGCTGAAGGATTGTCTGCTCGCCGAGATTCTCCCTGTGTGATAGATGGATACTTTGTCTCTATATCAGAGAGAAGATGTATCGGAGAAAGTATCAATGTATCAGAGACAATGTATCAGAATGTAACAATGTATCAGAGAGCCAATGTATCTGTAACAATGTATCAGAGAGACTATGTATCTGTAAAAATGTATCAGAGAGACAATGTATCTGTAACAATGTATCAGAGAGACAATGTATCCGAATGTAACAATGTATCAGAGAGACAATGTATCAGATGATGTATAAGATAATGTATCAGAGGCAATGTATCAGAATGTAACAATGTATCAGGGAATGTATCAGAGAGACAATCACATTCTCAAACAATTCATCCCCGCACAGCTACCTCCTCATGTATCATTTCCCCCTCCTCTTTTAGATTGTAAGCCCTCAGGGGCAGGGCCCTCCTTACCATCTCGTCTTGAATTGTATTGTGATTGTAATCTCTTCCTTACATTGTAAAGCGCTGCGCAAACAGTTGGCGCTCTATAAATACTATGTAATAATAATGTATCAGGGAATTTATCAGAGAGACAATGTATCAGAGAGACAATGTATCAGACAATGTATCAGAGAGACAATGTATCTGTAACAATGTATCTGTAACAATATTAGACAATGTGTCAGAGAGACAATGTATCAGACGATGTATAAGATAATGTATCAGAGGCAATGTATCAGAGAATGTATCTATAACAATGTATCTGTAACAATAGCAGAGAATGTATCAGAGAGACAATGTATCAGACGATGTATCAGAGAATGTATCAGAGAATGTATCTATAACAATGTATCTGTAACAATAGCAGAGAATGTATCAGAGAGACAATGTATCAGAGAATGTATCTGTAATTAGGGATGTCCCGATACTACTTTTTCAAGACCAAGTACAAGTACTTCCTCTCATGTACTTGCCGATACCAATTACCGATACTTTTTTTAAAGGGGCAGGTGACTTTAAATGATCCTTAGTACAACTACATGTTATGTACTATGGATCATGATTTAACCTATTCATGTTAGCAGGGGAGAATTGTAGTGTAGTGGAGGTGTATGCTGTATATATGTACTACATATACATTACACACATCCAGTACACTATAGCAATAGATATACAGCCAGCCCTGTCCCAGCTTCCCTCACTCACAGTTTCACTCCGTTCCCTGTTGCCTCTCGTAGTCGGCACACGGCAGGATCGCTGCATCGCGTCTCGGTGCTCAGCTAATGGGAGGTGCTCGCAAATTCTGCCCTGCTAACATGAATAGGTTAAATCATGATCCATAGTACATAATAGTACATTACATGTAGTTGTACTACGGATCATTTGACCCATTCATGTTAGCATGCGATCATTGTAAATCTATTGCTGCAGTGAATTGGGAATCTGTACATGTACTATGTACTACATATAGAATGCACTGCAGCACTAGATTTACAATTCTGCACTGCTAACATGAATGGGTTAAATGATCCGTAGTACAGGGCTACATAGGGATCATTTCATCCATTCATGTTAGAGGAGAATTGTAAATCTCTTGTTGCAGTGCATTCTATATGTAGTACGTAGTACATGTACATATAGAGTGCACGGCAACAATAGATTTACAATTCTCCTCTGCTAACATGAATGGGTTAAATGATCCGTAGTACAGGGCTACATAGGGATCATTTCATCCATTCATGTTAGAGGAGAATTGTAAATCTATGGCCTGCAGTGTTTTAGCAGTCTGTATATGTACTACATATAGAGTACTTTATATAGTGAATGAGGTTTAGTGGTTTAGAATGAGTTTAGTGAATGAGGTCAAGCTCTGCTGACTTCCATCCTCTTTTTTAATGTTCCTTGCACTTGGTTGGGTATTCTTTGCAAAGTAAAATTTTACTACATTCACCAAGTAGTATTACACTCCGAGACTCTTTTTTTCAATAATGAATCCGGATCAAACAAATACACATCGCCCAGCAAGGCATTGCTTTACTTTTTTTGCCCAAACACTTAGAATCAGCTGCTTCCAGGTCTCTCAGCTCAGCTTGCCTGAGAACTTCCTGTCCAGTACAAGATCACAAGGGACAGAGCAGACTCCAGAAACTGTTCATCTACTAGCTTGGAGAGGGGGGAGGGAAGTAGCTTGATTTGCTGTGTCTTTGTGTTTGCGGAGACACATACAGTTTACTAGCACACACAAGGGTGACTACATAGCACTCTGCTTGAGAAAGGAGTCACTCTAAAACAGGAAGCCAGGACCTGTGCTAAGGGGGCCAGCTGATTCTGCAGGAAAATAAAACTTTTATACATCAAGAAGCAGCATCCATTGTAAGTGATCTCATCAATTCTTTTGACTTTCATATCACTTTAGGGGAAAATTCCCCCCTGCAAAGTGAACAGTCTATTTGCCTTTAGTAAGTCCACCACATAGTACATTATTAATCTGCATGGGTCAGCTGACACTTTGCAGGTATGAGGATGGCTGATCGCTGTCTTCAGTGTTTGGGCCACGGCTGCCTATTGCTTTCTAGGTCCAGTCCAGTGTGAACAAAGCCTGAGGCTACACCGGAGGATTGCGATCATCGCGTCACTGGACAGCCATGGTCCTGTAATAATGGGCAATCAATGTAATTCCTGGACATGTGATTTTACTGGGACAACTGGGCACACAACGGTCCTGATACAAAATGTATTTCACGTATAAAACGCTCCCGGGGATTTCTCTCGGCTCTTCCTCTTGTTAAATCAGGTTCATCTATATACAGGAATTGAACCCCAATGGTGGCTATATGGAATACAGATAAAGTGGGGCCAGCAAAGGGATTTCATTGGAAATCTTTATCGATCTGGTTAACAGAAGAACAATGGATGTCCATACAATGTACACACAGCTAGAATAACAGAAATGTAAAATGTATTTCCATCTGTATTTGTATTGTGTATGTGAATCTGTATTTTTAGCATTTTTTGGGCCATGTTTTGTTATCATTAAACAGCAGGCCCCATTCACACATA